AACCAAAGTAATATTTTTTATGCTAAAAAATAATATTCATTTAATATAATACAATAAAATATATTAAAAGATATTTAAAAAAAGAATTTTAATGAACCAATAAAATGCCTCCACCTCATTATTAAGTGCACATGTGGCATGCCACATGTCAACCTACAACCAACACACTCAACTTTACCTATATATACTAGTATTCTGACCCGTGCCATGCACGGAGTCAACAGAAATTTATGTCGATTCTGAATTATTTCAATGAAATTTATTTTTCGGAAAAAAGAAAATAAAACTATGATCACGTGATTTTTAATACTACAGATGAAAAATGCCAAATTAAAATAAATAATATTTGAGGAACTGACTGTAGAGTTAACAATGTTTATTTTAATACCAAATTTTCTGAAAGACTTCAGGGTATACAACATTTTTTGGTATGGTTGCAAGGGTTTCCATGGTCATCTAGAACCAATATCTTCAATCTTGTCTTTGTCTTCACTCGTGAAACAGCAGCACAACCGACTTGGTTAAAAATAATCCCACAAATGATAATGTTTGACTTTGACTTTTGTTGATAGTCATAGCAAAACATAAGGCGATCGGGAATTGTCTTCTTTGGAACTTCAATGGTAGTCCCGGATCAGATGGTACCAAATTCATTCTAGGGATGTAAACTTTTTCCCTGACTCGATTTCCCGAAACCAAAATTGCACCATACGTGAATCTTTTTTGTGACTTGTGTTTTGTAAAATTTTAAGGTAAATGAACTTCTTAGCCACATAAGTCGACCGTTTTCCTTAAGATTCGTTATAGAGTGATTGTTTATGTCTTGGTGTTTTTGTTTGTTATTTTCATAAAAATTGGGATTGTTTAAGCGCAATAAACAACTCTTGATTTAATGAAAATATGTAATGTTTTTTTTATGTGAATAGATTACAATTCTTACGCTTAAGTTGTTCGAGGAGACCTGCAAAATATTTTCATCATTAGACGTTAAAGTTTATTAAAGTGTATCAAATGTTCTTCATGAATACTTTGTGCATGGGAGTTAGAATGAAAGAAAGATTCGCTCTTTTATAAACTTTTTCATCTTTTGGAATCATTGTTTGAGCGCTTGAGGTGAGTGGGGGTTCAAAGTAACCAAAAGGCCTTTGAATCTTTTGACTCCGGGCCTTATGGAGAGTTGACGATTCTCTATATGTGGTCAAGGATATGAATCAACTCGAGCCTTTGAATTCTTTTCTATTTTTAAGTGCGTAAGTTACGTAATATATTGTCTAAGTGCCTATTATACGTGTAATGTTCAAGTGTTTGTTCTCTTTTTCAGTTTGTTTTGGGTTCTTGGCGTGTTTCTTGGGTTACCTAAGTTGGAAAAGATGATTATCTTTTGAGCTTGTTTCCCCATTTTATCAAAAAACCAAAAAATAATAAAATATAAAAAAACTAAAAAAAATATTTACTTTTCATCCAACCCCCCTCTTTTGTGTTATATTAGCATAAGTTTATATTATAAGTTTTAAAAGTATTATCTTTTGTGTAGTATTTAGTTTTACTTTTATTTTCGTGACAATGTGTTTGCATACTAAATTGGTTTCAAAAGTACAAACTTTCTCCGTGGGATCAACCCTTACATGCCCTAGCTATAGTTTTTATTTGATTATATCTCGGGGGTTAGTTAAGGTTAATTTATAAATTTTTAATTTGTTTTGGACCGCACGACAAGTCCTCAACAAATTTTGGCAAAATTTGTTGAGGACTTGTCGTGTGGTCCAAAACAAATTAAAAATTTATAAAATATCCTTAACTAACCCCCAAAATATAATCAAATAAAAACTATAGCTAGGGCAAGTAAGGGTCGATCCCACGGAGAAAATTTGTACTTTTGAAATCAAATTAGCATGCACACACATTGTCACTAAACAAAACAAACTAACTACTACACATATGATAAGACGTATAAAACTTATAACTAAATAAATTTAAAAACTTATAAATATAACTTATAAACGAAGAACTATAATATAACTATAAACTTAAAACACAAAGGGGGGGTTGAATAAAAAGTAAATATTTTTTTGATTTTTGATTTTTCTTATTTTTTTGGTTTTTTTTGATAAATTAGGAGAAACAAGCTCAAAAGATAATCAACTTCTCCAACTAAGATAGCCCAAGAAACACCGCCAAGAACCCAAAACAAAATGAAAAAGAGAACAAACACAAATTGAACATTACACGTATGATAGGCACGTAGACAATATATTACGTAACTTACGCACTTAAAAATAGAAAAGAATTCAAAGGCTCGAGCTGATTCATATCCTTGACCACATATAGAGGATCGTCAACTCTCTATAAGGCCCGGAGTCAAGAATTCAAAGGCCTTTTGGTTACTTTGAACCCTCACTCACCTCAAGCGCTCAAATAATGATTCCAAAAGATGAAAAAGTTTATAAGAGAGCGAATCTTTCTTTCATTCTAACTCCCATGCACAAAGTATTCATGAAGAACATTTGATACACTTTAATAAACTTTATCGTCTAATGATGAAAATATTTTGCAGGTCTCCTTGAACAACTGAAGCATAAGAATTTTAATCTATTCACATAAAAGAACATTACATATTTTCATTAAATCAAGAGTTGTTTATTGCGCTTAAACAATCCCAATTTTTATGAAAATAACAAACAAGAACACCAAGACATAAACAATCACTCTATAACGAATCTTAAGGAAAACGTTCAACTTATGTGGCTAAGGAGTTCATTTACCTTAAAATTTTACAAAACACAAGTCACAAAAAAGATTCACGTATGAATTTGAAAATCACTTAACTAAAATATGTAGCTAAATTAGCTTCAATGATAACCGAATTCGACATACCAACCTACTTATGAAATCAAATTTATAATTCAACCGATTTAACATCAATTTGCGCAAAAATTGAAGAAACTAGTAAGAATCAATTTTCATTCATAAGGGATTTAATATAACATAAAAAAACCCATAAAGAAACACCAACCATTTTGGAATTTTCGAAATTAACACAACAAGCAAAAAAAATGTAAATTTGAATTGAAACAACACTTTTACAAAGAAATTGG